ACAATGCAACTAAGACATTTTTAAAACCTTCCGTTCCACTTCAGGCACTTATTGTCATTTTTCACTTTTACGTTCTCCTGGTCTTTTGGTATTCAGTTCTTGATATTTTGTTTCCTATCTTAAATTATGTGTTCGACAGTTTGATAAGTATTTAATTGTGAGAGTGGAGGTGAACTGATCACTGAATTGTAGAACGGATGTATGACCCCATGAGATTTACAGAACCAGGCGGTTGAGTCTGTTCTGTGACAAGCCCTAATTTGTTTAAAGGATCCTACGAAAAAGTCTGCACCTGTCAAAGATAAGCTCTGGGAATTGAATATAATGAGAATGCTTTATCCGTTTTTCAGGGCATCATTATATAAAAAGATAGTGTTTCGTTTTTGTGCTCATTTTGTTTTCGCTCGAATATAATCTATGAGTAGGCGGAGAGTACACGTCACAAGATTTACTTTGCAAATGAAGTGCCGTTCTCTTCATTTCTCTGCTTTATTTTTTCTTATTATCTTTTTGTACACAAATAGTTGTTATTCTCTAGGTGAGACGTCCTTGTGCAGACACAAGGTAGGTAATCAGCACTATGAATTGGCAGTATCGTTTAATAAGTCTCAAGGGCTGGTCACTTCTGGCATCCGCTACAGGGCCCGTCATATTTTATAGATAAATTTTGTTACATTTTGGGTTGAATGACCGAGAATGATTGCTTAGTTTATATAAAGTAATTCACTATTGCCTCGGAGGTTAGCTGCACGGTGTCTGAGGTGTAAAAAGTAGGCACTGAACCATATAACGCAAAATACGGGTGTTTGACTCCCGCTCCAGGAGGATTGTTCGGTCATATTACATGTAGATCTCAGTTTTTTTCTGCTGAAGCCACCTATTTCTCAGCACGAGTTTGTCCTGTCAGACAAAGTGGGAGTGGAGCTCATCAAAAATAAAATGAATTGTGATAATAAGGAAGAAAAGGATTGACTAGCGAGTATTTGTAATGGAATTACACTAGATAGTCAACAATTTGATAACCTGACCTCAGTCGAATGTGATGTAGGTGGGGGTCAACCTGTCTTTGAGATGAACATTACGTCGTAACATATTGCCAGAAAATACGTAATACTAAGACTTTGTTCAAATTGTATTTATAATCCATTTCCCCCTCTGTTACTTCTGATCTTGTTGCACTTATTTGTTTGCCGAGGATAGAAAAACTAATCACTAAACCAGGATAAGATATATTTTGGAGTTTGGAATGTTCGATTTTTTCATGTAAATAACTAAAAAATGTGGTGAACCAGATCAAAGTTTTAGAGAATTTTATATTCTGCTAAAAATAGACACCATCTAAAAATCAACCTTGTGTCGACCCGGCATGAACGTGATGTAGCGTTAGACAGAGAATTGGATTGCATCTCCTCTGTGATATTGACTTGCGAGGCATACTGCTGAAGTGGAACATACATTTTTCCGACCGTGTTTCCTGGGAGGCTGTAGCAGATCATTAACTACGACTGTAATTGATTGTTAATTTTTTTACATCCCTACCGACATAATTGAGATCAGTGAGTTGGCAGGCCACGTTGATCATGGCCGTAAAGGATTGCCTGGGTTGACCGAATTACATATTTCAAACAGAAAGAGGAAATAAAAAGTAAGTTTCCTATCAACAGAATCAAACAAGAGTCTTTTTTGAGCAGCCAACTCTAAAGCACCTAGAAATTTGACCAAAGTAACCGGTGAACTGTTATTTGGGATACAAGTTGCCCATGTACACATCAGATAGACATCTTAAGACAGAAATAATCTTCTAACCTTGTTTATTTTGGGGTAAGGATGTGTTAAAAGGTGATCATTTAACACGACTTCTCCTAAGCAGGCATTACAGAGTTTGTCTGTTACTAGAATCAGAACCATAGATGTACACTCTGGAGTGTTGAAGTGGTTACGACTCCTTGAAGGTTGAACAGCCGTCTTAAGGGGGGGGGGGGGGGCTACACCCCCAATGTCCCGATTCGGCTCAAAATGATGGAATTAGGCAGTTTTAGCTTTCTCAGCCTTTCCTACAACTATTTCATCGCATAAGAACCCCCAAAAGCCTTTTTGTCGTCCATACCGGGCATGTAACAACACGTATAGGTGTGTGGAAATATTTTTGTGCGTTTATGAGCATGTCTGTGTGTGCATGAGTGTGTATATGTATGTGTTTGTGTGTGCGTGTGTGTGTGTGTGCGCGTGCATGACAGAGAGAGAGAGCGACAGAGACACATGGAGAGAGAGAGTGAGAGAGAGAGAGAGAGAGAGAGAGAGCGACAGAGACACAGAGAGAGAGAGAGAGAGAGAGAGAGAGAGAGAGACAGACAGACAGACAGACAGACAGACAGACAGACAGACAGACAGACAGACAGAGAGAAGCATAAAGAGAAATGAAGAGGCTGAGATGGAGATCCTTCTTCTATTTCGCGTCATTGTTCCTGCACTCAAGCTGAGTTACATAAAAGAAAAAACGCTCCATTTTAATAAACGTTTATCTATTAGATTTACATAGCTTCGTAGAAAGCACATACTCTGAAAATACCACCAATGCTCTAAGGAAAATACAAAAGTGAAGGTATACATACAAAGGATAAATATAGTTTTTAGCACTCTTTTCGGAATTTACTTGATCGACCTAGTACAAACATTGAGATTCTCCATTCTCTGTGGGGCGCCATTTGGAAAGCAGTGACATCGTATGTCCCAAAAGACACTTTTAACTTAGTTTAAGAATGGTGGGTGGAAATTTACGTTACTTAAACAGCATTCAGGGATTTGAATCGCCCATATTGCTAGATTTTACTAACAATTAACCACACGTACTGATTGCACAGTTCGAACAACTACTGAGACGTTTGTAGGGTACCTTTCATTGCTAGCACCTGCCCTATTCCTCACGTTCGTCCACATACGGGAGAGGATAATAACAGCCCACTGCCCCACCCACAGGACGCTCAACTTCCCTGCGTGTGGGAAGTTACTCATTAGCCGCAGTCTCTCCAGCATGAGAACGCCACATTTCTTGGTGCCTACTATTTCTTCCCTCTTCTTCGCCAATTTGTTGACAGCGGCCCCATTCAAGCAAAAAATAAATACTATAACTGATATCCCTAACATTCACAGTAATAGGCCTGAATTTCACTTGATTTTAGGATTTTAGGTGTGTTCAATATGGCGTTAGATATTATTATTATTTTTTAAGCCATAAGAACTTCTCTCTTTATGATATTTAACACCAGTGAAAAACGGTGGGTTAGCCGAATATCGTGTAAGTGCTGTTAACAAGACATCCGTTGGGCGCTCCAAAAATCCCTGATCAACTCAGGAAAGAATAAAAGGGGTCTAGCCCCAGACATTTTTGTGCATTCCCTAACCCCGTCCCAGCCAATACAAACGTAGTTTTAAAAAAAGAGGCTTGCGTTCTAATAACTGGTGTAACATCATTGTAATGATGTTTAGATAATAACATATGTTTAAAGGTAAATGAACAAATATTATGAAAATTCAAGTTTAATTAGGTTCGCTAATTTCGAATAATGCACAAATTCAGTAACACCCCCCCCCCACACACACACACCCCGCCTGAAGTTGAAAATATACGCTCTTGGGACGGTGAGAGGTACAAATGCTGCTGAAAATATACGTGCATAGAGCTGGAAGGGTTAAGATTTTGCGGATATGGTTAAAACGTAAGTGGTACCTTTTGATTAACCAAAATTAATTTTAAAATATTTTAACTGAGAATCAAACTGTCAATATATCTGTATTATGGAACTTCTAAAACGCAATCTGACGGTAGTTGCTTTGGTCGCGACAGTTGCATAATAATATGGAGGACGTAACGATTTGCTTTTTATCTTAGCTCTCCGGGTAGGTGCATGACAAGCTTCTCCAGGACAGGAGCGTTCACAAAGTCTTAAATGAGCGTTTTCCTCTATACAGAATTATTACCCAGCAGTTTGGATGGTTTTCCACGATTTGCTTTATTTTCTTTTAGTGTTTCCTTTGTATTGCCTCAACTTCCCTTCGTCACAAGAAAGTCATTTTTCCAATAGAAAACTGTTACATTTTTTTTACTAGAATCAAGGCAGATTTCTATGTGGACTGTAAATCTCCCGAGAGGTATGTGAGCTGTGCACATAATATTGTAAGATTGATAGCAATCGTAATATGGGCCTTGACTCCATTACCAGATTGAGGAATTATTTTTGGTAATAATTAGATTGGGCATTGTTCCCAATGCTGGTGATTGCAGTTTAACAGATATATTACCACAGGTTGACTGTTTGAGTAAAGCAAAACACATCAATACCATAACGGTCCTTGGTATGGGAAAAAGGTAGAACAATTGTCAATGAACATCAAGACTTTTACAGATTACAACATATAACATTGTGTAATTAATTACGTTCTGTTATTTTATAATGGTAACAACGTAGTCCTTCAACCTCCAACCTGAGCTTCTACTCTTACCCAAAACTACGTCATGACAATGAAGGCCAAAGTGATGGGTATAGCATGAAGAAGGCATAACTATTTATAGATGCTTTCCCTTAGAGCTCCATTTAGTTTTATGCGGATAACTGTCGTGTGCATGCATGTGTGTAGGTTCATGTGTTCGTGTGTGTGTTTGTGTGCGTAGGTGCGTGCGTACGTGCTTGTGTGTGTGTGTGTGTGTGTGTGTGTGTGTGTGTGTGTGTGTGTGTGTGTGTGTGTGTGTGTGTGTGTGTGAGTGTGCATGTCAGTGACCGTACTTGAGTGTTATGGTTGCATATGTTTAGAAAATAAAGGTGAAAAGACAAATGGAAGAAAACCCAATATCGAGCGCATGCCTCGTGTAATAAGTAAACGAATAATGAAACGAACCAGTTTATAGCTCGTCCACCGCATTCTTTTCAGGCAAGCGTATGTCCAATGGAAAGGAATCATTAGCAAAGAGAACTTAGATGCAATACTATTTGTTCACGTCTTACCTTCTGAGACGCAGTAGATAACGTTGAAATGTTTCTCTCCAAGCACAAACTATAACATTTCTTGAATAGTTCACAAGGCCGCAAAACAAAAACACAATACTTATTTCATATATGATCTCTTTGATTCGCGTGGTATACCATAATATGACAGTTTGGTTTAAAAAAAAGAAAGCAAGTGTCTTCTATTTAAATATTGGGCTCCTCAAAAGAAAGTTTTTAAAGAAGATACACCGACCTAAATTTCAAGTCAGCGTTAAAGTTACTTCTGAGGTAATAAAAAGCTCTTCTCAACTGGCAGCAGAAAGGTCACTAGGCGTTTGAGTAATGTCAGCCTTGTCAAAAATGTTCACTATCTATAAACAGAATAATTATGAAAATAGAGAGGTAACTGAAAAAAAACATATATAATATACACATACCTATATATATAACATAAAATAAAATAGCTTTTTTTAACAAAGAAAAAACTGGCAATGTAGCTTTTCACTTCATTCTCTTTTATCTTTCTAAGGCTCTCAATAATGAAACAGATTGCACGTCACGAAATACTCTCTGAAACCCATAAAGTATACCAAACACAAAAAAACGCCATCTTTTTCTTTCACTGCTCTTTAAAACTGTTATAGCCATTACAAAAAAAGCTCGGAAAAGGAAATGTAATTGTTTGTGATGTTTTTCTTTACTCACTTTAAAAAGAACCAGACAAGCCTCAGCGTCAAAATAACCGTTAGAGTAAATTTTCGTCCATTGGCCCTACTTCTTAAAACCGAAAACAAACTTGTTTTTCTAAAGTAGTGAATAACCGAAAAATTCCCGATTTTCCTCGAATTCTCGTCCTATCTTAAGAACTTTCCCTAAAGTCTAATAACTGGTATTACAATCAGCGCTGGTTCGTCGTTACAATCGCGCGCTTGTCACAAATTGATGAAAGTTTGTTCTTGCCCTGTCCCACACACTCAACACAAGAAATTGTTTCAAGTCAGTCATGGGCAGAGTTCCCTCCCTTGCCCACGCGCGTCTCGCTCTAGGGGAGGTAAGCCGCACTGGCACGTACACCGCTCGCACGCGCGTGAGCTCCACGCTGGGTGAGTGGTGTTAGTCGGGATAAATGGAGTCCGCGGCACAGAGTGTGAAGCAAGACAGAGGAGAAAGAGAATAATAAGCTTATTTTGATAACGTTTTTGATTGCTTTTACATTAGATCATTTACTAAACCTTGGTGCTCGGAGGGTGCAATTGGTAGGTCTTATTTCCTGTCTCTTCCTCGTATGTTAATGTCTCTATTCTGTCTTCTTGTCTGTCTTTCTGATTTCCAGCACTAAATGGCAGTCACAGTTCCTTTGTGCTTCTCCTTTTTCAGACCTGATTGGGCACAACAATTGGTGATTAAGAAGGTGGGTTCGCGCTGCGGGGTTGCACGGGTCCTTTGCTCAGAAAGGTCAAATAAGAAACATCAATAGTTAAGCCGAATAGAGTGGTGAGGGGAATGCACAGCAAGTACTAAGAAAATGTACCTCTCAGCGACAGCGATGTCTTGGTATCGGAGCAGCATGCAAGAAGGGAGAAGTTGGGGGAACAAAATACTATTTTTTTCACAATTTCCCGTTACGGACACTTTTTAAGATCACAAGTCAGCGTAAAATGATCGTTATACCTAAATAACTTGTGACTTTTGAAAATAAATTACTGTAATTTAAAGCAAATGTTTTTCCATCCCCAGCTCCGATTGGCACAAGTAGTGTAATTTGGGATGTCGTCGGCTTCCGATCCCGCATGCCAGGGCCAACCCCTGCTTAGAGGAGTAAAGCAAAATTTTTTTTTAAACCCAGAAAGACAGAGATGTTCAATTAATTAAATAATAAGCGTTCTCACTCAGGAATAGACCTTACATCTGTTGCGAGTAGCGGAGAAAAGGCTGAATATATTACATTACAGACGCTGAAGCAATTCAAAGTGTAAAAGCAGAAATTAATTTGGAGAGGTCATTGCTCGTAATCACTGATGACAATTTCGGTCTTTCTAGACTTATTTTAATTCTGAACTTTTAATATTATGCTGTCTGAAAACTAGACTGAAGGTATGTTTTTTCAGGAAAGGACAGAGAAGTATAGATTCTTCTCGGAATAGACCTTTAACTTTTTCCATAAGTTTGTAGCCAACTGTGCCATAAAACCCAGCTAAGGAGCTGTTAAACTGCTAAGTATTGAGATTGTTGAAGTTCAGTTCTCAAATGAGCAGCTTGCTGGCCATGTCGAGGGGCAGGTATCTTATCTCAGAGCAGAGTAAAAGCCAGCCCTGTCTACCTCTTTTCCCCACGTCTGTGTGGAGCTTTATGAGATGACATCTCAGGGCCGTGGTGTCCAGTTAGGTTGACCGAGCCGTGTCTCCGGTCTTCAGGCTGGCTCTTATAGTTTCTATGATTAATCCTCACACGGAAATTCCTGTCTGACTCTGTGAGACGGATTCTGGATACTTTTGATACAGAGCTGTGTGATACCCATTACAGGCGAACCTAATACAAACTTCCCACGAGGCCTCTCTTCTCTAGGTGTGCCCATCGCTTATTTACTGGTGGCTTAAGAACTGATAAAAAATAGACCTAGTTGCAATGGTTATCCTGGTTCAATCCCCTGAGAAGGTCATGCAAATGCAAAATAAGCATCTTTGTCTTTTTACATGAACATGAAGGACGTATGACGTGCTAATTGAGGCGGAAGGTTTGTAGTAGCTCCGATACACAGTATGTCGAGCCTTATGAGTTAAGATGCTGCACACCCGCATAGTGGACGTCTTAAAATGCACCATGCAGGATTTATAACCCCTCTTACAACAGCTTGACATGGACTTTTACCGGAAACTAATGAATGACTAGGAATTTGCGATATAAAATATATTTACTGTTACTGTAATTATATTATTTATTATATTACTTTTGTATTCGTACACAAGTAAACATACACACACAACACACACAAAACACTCACACACATACACACACACACACTCACACACACACACACACACACACACACACACACACTCACAGTTGCTATTGTAATATTCCTACATGTAGACTCCGTGCATTCCATGTAACCATTTATATTTTTCTCTGCCGTCTAATAATATGACTTTTCTGCTGAAGAAAGATCAGACTACCCGTCGGCATCGTATATTCATGGTCTTGTTTCAGCCTAAGAGTCGACTCTGGTACGCTTACCTGTCCTGCCTTACTAATAGTTATTATCACCGGATTTATTAAAATCTTTCGTTTGCTGCTGTCATGAATCCCGTTGACTTTGTAGTCATAGCAATTTCTTGTAATTTTCTATAAGGTTTTCATTTTTCATTCGAGATGGCAATTCGTGTTATAAGCAACTCCCTTCCGAAGACATGAGTATAGAAGGGGTAGATGCTTGAAAGGGGGGAGGGGGGTTGCATTAGAACAAATTCCGTACATTCAAGTCAGGTGATTGCACTCGCTGACCAAGTGATTATAGCCGCAGAGAACGAGGTGCAATGGACAAATGGAGTTATAATACTCTCGAAACGCCTGGCATGCCACACGAAGGAGCTACCGAGGTGACCAGAAGCGTTATTACTTTACTCACCCAAATAGATTCATTGGAGGGGGCTTTCGTGGTAGAGAAGTTATGGTCTTCTCCTCTCATTCAATGGGTCCCACGTTCGAATCCAGACATCAACGGAAAATGTGATTCTCTAAAATGTTCTCCTTTCCCGTCTATTCCTGCTCTCTAACAATGTTCTGTCATCTGCTTTTGTCTCCAGTTTCTGCCCCAATCACCTCACCTCCTTTGCTCCCTTCTCTGGGCTCTTGACTCTTTCTGCAGCCTTTTTATTGCTTCTCCTTGGCTCCTCCTTACTGTTGTCTTTCAGTCACACCTCTGTTCTTATGGTAGGTAAGATCTAACGCCTAATCTTTTGGATAAGGGCAAAAAATCTTGGAGATTCTGTGTGCAAGATGCGCACTTCAAAGATGCCTTGGTGGTCCAAAATCGATAAAATTAGGCTTCGGCCGTCACCCAGGCAAAATTCGAAATGTCGTACCTTATGCAGTTGCGAGAGCCGTAAAACACTAACGAAAAACGAGGAAAACCAGAAATACTGATGATTTTAAATATAGACCGGACAATACATACTACTTACAGATCGGTAGAGAGAGCGGGCGGCTCTCTTAAAGCGTCATGAAGGAGAGGGAAATGATGCGTGGTCTCTTTTGTTTTGTATGGGAGAAAAAAAAGAGGGGCTCGGGGAGAATTGGCCCAAGAGTGAAACACCTGTACCTAAAGACAATCTCTAAACTTGAATTTTGGAGGAAAAAAATGTGACCTCAGTACGTGAACGACAATTGAAAGGGTCTAGTGTAAAAGGATTAAATCATTTTAATCTTATCACGACTTCACCGATTTTCACTTTTTAATGATAGACAAAAACATAGTATTTGTGAATCACTTTGTTGCTTGTTTTAAATTCTAAAGATAATGTTGCAAGTTAAGGGACAACACACTGATTTTTTTTTTTTTACAAAATTGGTTCATCCTGTTTTTCACTTGACCCGTCGTATTGTTCTTTTAGAAAAGCAGATGAAAAAGAGCAAGTAAACCATTTTATAAACAATAAATAAACACTAAGTTGTGTTTTAATAAACGTTGACATAATGAATTTATATGTCGTAATGGTGTGTCAGAATTTAATACTTTAACTATCGTCCAAGACAAGCAGACGCCCTGGCAGGTTGGGGGGGGGGACATAGTTTTAGTATGGGTGAGTAAAGAATACACCTGCCGTGATACTGTGTGTCGTTAGAGGTGACTAAAGATGCATAGGTCTGGTCACCCGAAAAGTGACAGTTTGCGGAAGGCCAACTAACCAACCCAGTAAAAACAGAAGGTTATAGAAACCCGAACAGACATGCCTTATATTTTTTTCCGTTTAGGGAGACATGGGAGCTTCTGTATCAGCAGGAACAATGAATGACAACGGACAAAGCCGAAATGACTCTTCTAACCTGAAACCTTTTCTGTCGAACAAGTCTCTCCGGATTGCGTCGTGGAGTGTTCGCACCATGTATGAAACAGGAAAAGACTCAAGGCTGCACATACTAGGAGTCAGCGAAACCCACTGGATATAGTCTGGACAGAAGCAGCTCAGCTCGGGGAAACAAGAATTGTATTCTGGGAGGGAGTCAGAATCATTTTGAGTAAGTATGCAGAGAAGTCACTTAGAGGATGGGAACCATACGAGGAGAGGATCTTCGTGGCTTCTTTCACTACCAAGAGCAAAAGCATCCACATGAACATAGCACAGATCTACGCCCCAACAAATAATGTTTCGGATGAAGACAAGGATGCTTTTTACAGCCGGCTCCAGGGGGTCATCAACAAACTACCAAAGAAGGACGTCAACATCATAATGGGAGATGCCAGTGCAAAGATTGGTCAGGACAGCGTAGGTTATGAAGAAAACATGGCTTGGGACAAATGAATGAGAACGGAGAACGATTTGCAAATATCTGTGCTTTTACAGTCTTGTCATCGGAGGCTCTGTTTTTTCCTACAAGAGGATCCACAAGGCTACTTGGGTATCGCCGGATGGAGTGACGGAGAATTAGACAGGTCATTTTTGTATCTCTCGTATGTTCAGGCGTTCACTGGAAGATGTCACAGTACAGAGAGGGGCAAATTTTGGATCGGATCATCATCTGCTGTAAACAAAGTTTCGTCTAAAAAAGCAAGGAACCAGAACAGAAACCAAAAAAGACTGAAGTTCAAAATAAGTCTTTTAGATGAACACAAGAAAGTGGAGTTTCAACTGCAGTTGAAGAACAGATTTCAAGACAAGGAGGTGGAGGTACACTGGACCAATGTCAAAGTCTTTACTTCAACATGTCAAGAAATACTCGGTGAGAAGAAACTGGAATACAAGGAATGGATTAGCCAACGGTCATTGGACTTCATTAGCATTAGAAAACAATTGGAAGCAGAGACAAATGCTAGTAGGACAGGGAGAT